ACCTCTCAACAAGAAGCTTGTATTTTTACTAAGCCCTTGGGACTTGAATATTTTGTTTCTTCCGATCCAAGTTGGGTGTTATGGACATCTATGCTTCAACTTGAGGGGGAATATTACACAATATACTTATTATTATTTCCTTGTATCCATTTATTCTCCTCCATATATAGTTTATACTCATTCCATGTATAGATTTATTCAATAACTACAAATATGTACCATATTCATTGTAAAATATGAAGATAAAGTAATCAATATAGCTGTTCTTTCTAATTCATCTTCCTCCTTGTATTATAAATAAAGGGAAAAATGAATTTAAAAAACTTGATATTATAACTTGTTTGATAAAGATTTCTAGTGAAAATTCATTTTTTTGAGTACATATAATTAAAAAATGAATGAAAATTATGAATTCAATGAACCATGTGTTTTAAAATGATTTTAGAAAAATCTATGACAAACAAGCTTTAATACTATTAGATGCTTTTGAAGATGAATCTAAATCATGTAAGAATGGCCAAGCCCTAATAAGAGATGGATGTAGGAAAGGGCATTTTTACCTGGCATCATTCGACCAGAACCAGAACATGGCTAAACTAGACAATTCTATTTGTTGGATCCTAGAATCGAGAATTGAACGACTCTGGTCAATTCTAGATTCTAGCTATATAACGCAATTTTGATTCAGTTCTAATATTATTTTTCTATAAAAACTTGTAGTCTATTTAATTCATATGTATTCAATATAATTTAGAGTTTTATGGTTTATAATGTAAAGCGTGAAATACTAAAATAAGAACATTTATGCAACAATTTTAATTGGAAATTGTATTTTTGAAACAAAAATCAAACTAGAACAAATGGTTCCACGGAAAAATAAGGACTGAATCGTTTTTGGTTCAGTAAAAATACTTTTTACTTTTAGAAGCAATCGTTCTATTTTGACAATTATCATTGAGAATTATTTCAATTCAATTCTTAAGATACCCAAATTGACCCCGATGTCCAGCCTCATATGAGATACCTATCATGACAATAGGAAAATACTATTTGTACAAATTTTTTTAATAAATGGGATTACAGGTGCTGAACTAGCAAGATTTCCAATTTAGCTTTGTTTGAAAAAAAAGTGTGAAGCGCTTACAAAAAAATTATTCCTCAAATATTTGTAAAAGTGTTGTAAATGGTAAGTTTATTAGGGTTTGTTAGTGAATGATAATTTTACTCCTACAACCCTAGAAATTATTACCATTTTATCATTGATTCTTACCTATAAATATATGGCTCTTGTTATTAATAAAATAGATACAAGTCCATTGACTTCTCTCCGTTCTCTTCACTTTTTTTTTTCACAACACATTATCAGCACGAAAAATATAATTCTTCAAAGTTTTGGGAAGGTAGTAATTTTTTTCCATCACGTGTATCAAAATTAATTTGGTAACATGTGAATTTTTTATATATATACATACACATCAATTCACGCTAATCTTTTTCTACATGTTCCAATCATATTAAACTTCAAGTTGTGAAAATAATATATATTGTTTACCTTTTCAATTCCTGGCCCTTCAAATCTTTTTCAATACTCTCTATACATATTCTTTTTTTCAAGATTCAAAGTGTTTTTGTCAATAGTCAATGATTGGAATGGTACAATAATTATTTTATGTGCCCAGAATTGTTGAAATGGTAATTATAATTATGTGCCCATAGTTATCCTTTATTTGATTAGTCCCAAAGGTGGCGACAATTGTGCCAATTTTTAATATTTATGACTATTGTTGAATATTCTGTGTTTTTAACCTAATTAAATAATTTTAGTTGTTTTATTATAAATTTTAAATTGATAATATATAATATTCTTGCTCCAGAAGTAGCACATAATTATAATTAATATTTCAGAAGAATATTAATTGTAGATTTGTCTATTATAAACAGTAGTGGAGCTAGCACCCGGTGAGGGGGCATGGCCGTGCGTGCTGGCTCCGTTGGAATGTTCAAGAATGTTGGGCACCGTCGAGTAGCAAGTGAAACAATGAAGTTGCAGGAAGGAAGATGAAAGAGGACTCCGAATTCTTTTTCTTTTTCTTTGGGCTGTCGGCTGATGATTAGACAATGGTCCATGGACATTATTTGGGCCTTTTTTGTTTAAAAAAATTAGGCCCAATTTTCCTTACAATGGATTATTACCCAGTGACCCAGTTCTCAAATCAAGAATGGTCCAATTCCAAACAGCAAACTCCAATTACTCCACCAAATTGACTCTTAATTTCTCATTCTCAAATCCCAACTCCAGAAGCCGCAAAGTGCAAACCCTTTTCCTTCTCCCTTTCTAATTCCGTTCAACTGCGCTGCCAGTCATTAGCCAAGACCAGAAACTTAAAGCCTGGTTCTACTTCTGTCGAGTCCGACTGTCGTTCCGAGGTTTGAACTTTTCGTTCTGGTAAGCAGACTACAGACAGCAGGGTGAAGAGAATTCAGCTTCGCTTGGGGACTGGTGAGTGATTTTTGTTCTATTTTGTTGCTGCTTTTCTTTTGGGTATTATTTTTGTTCTATTTTGTTGGCTATTTCTACTTGATTTGTTAAATAATGAAGTTTATTGTATGTGAATTGTGTTAATTGTTATTACTTATTAGTCTTGTAAATAACGAGTTATGAATTGTGATTTATGCTTTGTGACTTGTGAGTTATTATGGAGAATTGTGATTGTGATTTATGATAAGTAATTTATGCTTTATGAGACATGAGTTAGGATTATTTGTTTGAGAATTTATGTTTAAGAAATTAGGATAAGCGAAAAAAATTAATTAAAAAGATGTTAGCTACTTAATTCAATATGTGTGTACTCGGTACTTTTTTTTAATCAATTCTAAATGAAAAATTTTATTTACATATATATTGAATAACTTTTAATATTATTTAATCAAATTTTAATAACGATCGGATTATTACGATGTTGATTGTCGACGGTCAACGATCAACCTCCGTCCTAACTGGACATTGATGTTGGATTTGCCTCTTATTATAAATTATTTGTTGTTGCTCCTGAAATAGCATGACATCATAATTAATATCATTGAAGAATATTACGTGCTTTTGAAAAGCATAAATTATGATTTTCAACATTCTAGAAGAATATTGATATATTACTCTTGAAGAAGTAATAATAAAATACAATGTACTCTTGAAGTATCACATGTTTTTGTAAAGTAGCTCATGTTTATTATATGTAAGAAGTAATAATATGTAAAGTAGGACATGTTTCGAAAAACATATTATTTTAGTGCTTATCGCTGAAGGAACACACGTAACTTATGTCATGTTTATATCGATTATTTGATTAACCATTATGTGATATTTAATCATATTCTTCGAAATTAATTGTATTTTCTTTATTATTTAGTTAATCAAATGTCAAACATTACAAAATTTGAGTTTGCTGCACTTTACATATCTAGCAAAAACTATCTATCATGGATGCTCGATGCTGATATCTATCTTATCTCAAAAGGTTTGGGAGATATAATAAAAGAAGGAAACAAGTAATTCCTGCAGGATTGTGCATGCATCTTTGTTCGCCGTCATCTGTAAGATAGATTGAAAATTGAATATCTCACTGAAAAAGATCTATAGTTTATTTGAAAAAATTAACTCAGAGATTTGATCATCAGGGGACTATAGTTCTCTCCAAAGCCCACTATGAGTAGATACACCTTCGTTTGCAAGATTTCAAAACTTCTAGCGAGTACAATTCTAAACTGTTCAAAATTAACCTTTTGTAGAAGAAAAACACCGATGCAGATATGTTGTAGAAAACTTTTTCCACATTTCACGCATCAAATGTGCTCCTACAGCAACAATATTGTGAGCGTGATTCAAAACGTACTCAGAACTTATATCTTGCTTACTTTTTGTTGGAGAGAATAATGAACTCCTGATGAAAAATCATGGATTACGTTCAAGTGGTTCTGTACCATTGCCTGAAGCTATACATGGATAATATCAAGACAAGAATGTGGATGTGGACGTGCACGTGGAATAAACCAACAAAATTATCAACTACAAGGCAATTATTTCAAGAGGCACAAAGCAAACGAAAATAGCACATCCAAAAAGGGGGTAGAAGAAAGTCGCTTTAAATGTGGAACGAATGGGCATTGGACATGTACCCATCGCACAACAAAATATCTTGTAGATCTCTACAAAAAATCAATCAAGAGAAAGAGAAAAATTGAGACAAATTTTGTTGACTATGATGATTCAATTGATGTGATTCATTTGAATGTCTCCGATTTTTTGCCGATCCAAATGAGAATATTAATCATTTGATTGGAGGTGGTGTGATGGAAAATATAGATTAGTTTATTTATATCTCTAACATTTTTTTTTTATTTTAGAGATTTAGTTTGAAATATGATTTTACTTTTCGCAAAAAAGTTTTTAATTTTATTATGTATAGTTAATTTTATAGTATTGAATTTTGTTTAACCTTTTAAATTTAAATTCAAACTTTTTTTAAATATATCTATTTTGTTACATTGATGAATTTATGATGGATTGTCAAGCACCTACTTGATTGATAGTACAACTACACATACTATTTTTTAAGAAAAAATATTTTTTGGATTTAACATTAGAAGAAAATAATATTAATACGATATCCGGTGCATCGAATATTATTGAAAGCTACAAAGAGCTTTTATTATTTTACCAAATAATACAATGTTATTTATTGACGATGCACTTTATTCTAACAAATTCAGAAGAAATTTGCTTAGTTTTAAAAATATCCGCTGCAATGGATATCATATTGAGATGACACATGAAAATTATGTCGAATATCTTTGTATAACTTCTTTTATATTTGGTCAGAAGCAGATGAAAGAGAAAAAAATTTCATGCACTCCCATATGGTATGTATTATACATTTATAAAAATGGTTGAATCAAATAATGTCATGACTCAGAAATTCGTTGGCTCAAAAAGTTTTATATTTTGGCATGATCGACTTGGAGATCCAGGAGCTATAATGATGTGTCAAATAATAAACAACTCACATGGATATCCTTTAAAGAAGCAGAATATTCTTTTATCTAGATTATCCATGTATAGTTTGTTCGCAATACAAGTTAGTCATTGGACCTTCGACTACAAAGTTCAATATTGAATCTCCAACTTTCTTGAAAAGAATTCATGGAAATATATGTAGGCTAATACACTGACCATGTGGACTATTTCATTATTTGATAGTATTAATTGATTTTTCTATTAGATGGTCACATGTTTACCTACTTTTCGCTAAAAATATAGCATTTGCTAGACTACTTGCTCGAATTATAAAATTATAAGCACAATTTCTAGATTACTTAATTGAGACTATTCGCCTAGACAATGTTGGTGAATTTAGATCACAGGTATTTGATAATTATTATATGTCAATTGGGATCGTAATTGAAAATCCAGTTGTATATGTCCATACACAAAATGGTTTAGTAGAGTCGTTTATTAAACATCTACAACTTATTGTTAGACCATTACTTATGAAAATAAAACTTCAAACTTTTGTTTGGGTCATGACATAATAAATGTTGCATTATTAGTTTGTATTAGACTAACTGCATATTATCAATATTCACTTTTACAACTTGCATTTTGTCATGAACATAATATTCTCACTTACGGATTTTTGGTTATGTTGTCCAAGTCCCTATTTCACCTCACAATGTACTAAAATTTCCCCAACGAAGACTTGAGATTTATGTGGATTTTGATTCACTATCAATTATTAGGTATCTTGAACCTTTAATGGGTGATTTATTTACTGTACGTTTTTGTAGATTGTCATTTTGATGAAATGACTTTCCTAACTTTGGGAGAGAAAAACTACATCTTGAAAAACAAGATAAAAATTTTTGGAATGAAACAATTCTATCTCACTTTGATCCCACAGCAATCAATGTGAGTAAAATGTTGAAAAAAATCATTCATTTGTAAAGAGTTACAAATCAATTACCTGATATATTTGTTGACATGAGAAAAATAATAAAAACATATATACCAACAAAAAATATTTCAGCAAAAATTGATGTCCCTGAACGACAATATATTGTAACAAATGAATCTCAAATACTTCAAAAACGTAATCGACCAATTGATTCAAAAGACTTTGTACCTCGAAAAAGAAAGATACAGGAGAAAAATCAACCAAATACTTCAGAATAAGTAACATTAGAAAATATTGATCAATCAAATATTGAAGATAAGATTCTTGAAGAACCACAAGTGTCCAAAAATAATGAGATTTCAATAAATTATATGTTATTTTATAAATTATGGGAACGGAATAATATTGTTATAGATAATACTTTCGCCTTTAATGCGGCTCTTGAAATTATGCAAAATGAGGATCCTGAACTATCAGTTAAAGACTGTCAAAATAGAAATGATTTGTCAAAATGAAAAGAAGTCATACAAGCGGAGTTGAATTCCTTAGTGACAAAAAATATTTAGACCTATAGTTCGAACACCGAAAAATATAATCCTTGTGATATACAAATAGATTTTTGTATGAAAGAGAAATGAAAATAATGAAATTATAAAGAACAAAACCTGACTAGTAATTCAAGGTTTTTTACAAAAATCAGGAATTGATTATGAGAAAACATATTCTTCCGTAATGGACACCATCACTTTTAAATTCTTAATCAGTTTGAGCATATCACAAAAGCTCGATATGCACCTTATAGATGTAGTAACTACATATTTGTATGGTTCACTTGATAGTGACACATACGTATGTACACACACACACATATATGGAACAAACGATACATACCCGAGAATCATGTTCTCCGTTAAATTGTAAAGATTATTTTATGGATTAAAACAATTTGGATGCATGTGGTATAATTGGTTTAGTGAATATTTGTTGAATGAGGGTTATAAAAAATGAGGTTGTCTGCCCATTTATTTTTATAAAGAAAACAATTACTGGATTTGCAATTGTGGTTGTTTACATTGATAATTTAAATTTAATTGGAACTTCTGAAGAGCTTAACAAAACTGCCCATTATTTGAAAAATGAATTTGAAATAAAGGATTTAGGAAAAATCAAATTTTGTCTTGGATTGCAAATTAAACATTTCACAGATAGATTATTTGTTCATCAATTTACTTGTATAGCAAAAGTTTTTAAAACGTTTTTATATGGATAATGCATATCCATTGTCGTCACCTATGATTGTTCGATCACTTGATGTGAAAAATGATCCATTTTGTTCACTTGAAAATGAAGAAAATATTTTTAGCCCTGAAATACCATATCTTACTGAAATTGGAGTATCGATTTATCTTGTAAATTGCACTCGATCCGACATAACTTTTTGTGTAAATCTCATTGCAAGATATACCTCTATACCAACTCAAAGATATTGGAATGGAGTTAAACATATTTTTTGTTACCTAAAGGATACTATTGATTTGAGATTATTTTATTTTCAAAATTCGAGATTTGCTTTAGTGGGATATGCATATGTAGGTTATCTATTTGATCCACATAAAATTAAATCACAAATAAGTTATGTGTTTATGCGTAGAGAAATAGCTATGTCACGAAGCAGACTGAGAATGTGTATGATTGAGAAACATGACCCATCATATCCAAGTATCATGCTTGTTAACTTCAACAAAAGATAACCTAACAAGTTTGTATGAAAACAATGTAGATTGTATTGTACAACTCAGAGGAAGCTCTATTAAAGATGACAAGACGAAACATATTTCTCCAAAATTATTTCATATACATGAGCTACAAATGAATGACGACATTGATATCTAACAAATTCGCTTAAATGACAATATAACGACTTATTCAAAAGAGCATTGCCAACATCTACATTCAAGAAATTAGTTCATAAGATTGGAATGCATCGGCTCAAAAATTTTCAGTGATCAACATTCGGGGAAGTAGTTGTACTTTTTTTCCTTCACATAGGTTTTATCATACTGGATTTTTTTAACAAGGTTTTAATGAAATTACACTTATTTTTAATACTCTAAAGTAACTGTAATATTTTTCCTTCATTTGAATTTTTTGTCCCATTAGATTTTTATCAAATAACGTTTTAACGAGACAAATATTTTGTAATGTGTCATTTAAGGGAAAGTGTTGTAAATTGTAAATTTATTAGGGTTTATTAGTGAATGACAATTTTACCACTACAATCCCTAGAAATTATTACCATTGTATTCCTGATTCTTACATATAAATATTAGCTCTTGTTTTTAATAAAATAGACTCAAGTCTATAGGCTTCTCTTCGTTCACTTCTCTTTTCACAACCAAAAAAATTTATTCATCGAATATTATCAAATCCAACAATGATATATTTTTGTAAAAAAATAAATAAATAAATTTATAAGCCCTTCCGCGCATGAGCTGACACGCCAATAAATGATTCAATCTGCATATAATGGGTTACTTTCACAAACGGTCACTGAACTTACGCTAAAATGACAAAATGGTTATTGAAGTTTAAAACTTTTAGTAACGATCACTTAAGTTTCGGGACGCTTTAAAAAATGGTCACTAAAGTTTAAAAACTTACAAAAATGATCATTAAAGTTTAAAAACTTTCAGAAGCGATAACTGAAGCTTAAAAACACTTTTTCAGTTTTTTGGGCTAATTTTGCGACAACTTTTCGGCCACTTTTGACCATCGATACCGTCGAATTTTGATACCGTTGAAAATTCCACAATGTTATTTTCAATTACGACCCAAAATCTCCCCGTAACTCCAAGGGATTCAACCGAAAAATCGATACAAAAATCGTCCAAAAAATCTGAAAATCTCAAAAAATCTCAGTCTGGAAAGATTTTCAAATTTTTTGGGAGACTTTTGAGGAGATTTTTCGATCGAATCTTTTAAAGTTGCTGGAAGATTTTGAATGGTAATTGAAGAGGATATTGTGGACTTTTTAATGGTATCAAAATTTGGTGGTATTAGTGGTCAGAAGTGGTCGAAAAGTTTCCGCAAAAGTAACCCAAAAAATTGAAAAAGTGTTTTTAAATTTCGATGACCGTTTCTAAAAGTCCTCCGAAACTTAAGTGACCTTACTAAAAGTTTTAAATTTTAGTGATCGTTTTGTAACTTTCACGTAAGTTCAATGCCCGTTTGTGAAATTAACTCGCGTATAATTGACGCCAACTGAAAATGACTATTTCTAGTATTTAAGATTATTTTTTTCTTGAAAACTTCTTGTATTTAAGATTTAAGGGCCAGGAATAATCACAAACTCCTCGGGCGGCCGATCGTAATTTCATAAATCTTTCTCAAGAAAAAGGAAGAAATTGTTGCCTCTTTCAATCTCGGGTAAATTCTTCTTGTTTTCATGCACAAGTCGTATGTATGTATATGTTAAATTGGACCCGAATTTATTGATTTCGACTTATAGGTTCAGTAATTGATTTTGCCTAGAATTTATGGATCTATGGTTTGATGTTGTTTTCTTGATTGATTTGGTGGTATGGGTTAGGATTCATTTCTGTTGTAGTAGAGTTTTTTTTGTTTTTATGTGGAATTCGGATATGGGGAAGGGTGGATTTAAACTGGAGTATTGATTGTAGGCGGCGAGGATGTCTACGCCGTCGAGGAAACGATTGATGAGGGATTTCAAGCGTTTGCAGCATGACCCTCCGGCCGGCATCAGCGGCGCACCATATGATAATAACATCATGCTGTGGAACGCCGTTATTTTTGGGTATGTTTTGTGAATTTAGTTTGCGCCATTAGTGATCCATTGAAGTTCAAATTTTTACTCATTTTTTACTGTGTCTGAAATGCAGCCCCGATGACACTCCTTGGGACGGAGGTGAGGCCATCCTTACTCTATAATTCCAGTTTTGTTTATTTCAATGATAATTGGTGCATTATTTGATTGTTTCAGTTTCATTATTTGTGGTTCTAACTGATAATCCTGCATTTGTCAGAAGTACTTATTAATATGTAAGGGATGATTATGGATATGTACTGCCGTACTAGATTTATGGCAATAAGCCTTTTTAGTGCTTTTCTGGTATTGATACCACCTCACAAAATGGACATTTAATAAGGATGCACATTCCACATTATCTATATATACCTTTTTGAGTGCGAATAAAGGTTTTTATATTGGATGTGCTGCATTTCACGGCAGCAGTTAAATAACTGTTGGTTAATTTTTACCTAGTAGCTGAATCAGATGATTTTCTTTTATTATTGATTCTGTGTTGGAGAAATTGAATTTGTTATGAGTGATCAATTCAGTGCATGACAAGGACAGAAAGGTTCAAGATTGAAATACATTGATCTGCCCATATAGTATGGTAAGCTAGATGGGTTCTTATTCTGCACGATGATGTTAAAAAAACACTACAGCTCAGTATGCCTTTGCTTATAAGACAAGGGTAGAATTTCTTTTTTCCATTTGCTAATTTTATGCGCTCATTTTCACTCTGGAGAGATTATCCTCTAGATGATGGCCACTTAACGAGTCTTTAAAATTGTGTAGATCTCATCATCGTATTGAACCTTTGGATTTCACACTTACAAAAAATTTGAATGATTACTGCTTTGGGTCTTTATAATATGCTGCTGTTCTCATCTTTCCTTTGCCCTTTTTTATTATGTGTTGAATAATGTTCCGTTCTTTGTTTCCCTGGGAAATCAATAGTTTGATCATTGGGCATATTCCTGTTTGCTTTTAGGTACGTTTAAGTTGACACTTCAGTTCACAGAGGATTACCCAAACAAGCCACCAACAGTGCGATTCATCTCCCGGATGTTCCATCCAAATAGTAAGAAACTTAAGATCTATTACATTTATTTTATAATATAGTCATGTTCGGTATGTATAAAATATATTATTACAATCAGTCTTGTTTCTTTTTTAGTTTTTGAACATCCGCATGGAATAGCCCGATGGTGCAAGTTTTCTGATTTAGGAGAATAAATAGAGATTTATGCTTTACTGTGTGTCTGGATATATGTATTGTTGCATGTCTTTGTAATCTCTAGGTCTTTTAGAAGAAGGAATAATATGTGGTCATTCATAAACGAAAATTATCAAGAACTAACTCCAGCTTTGCATAAAATACTCACCATATTTTAGGAAACTGAGCAGCCTCGGTGACAATATTGTCATTTATATAAGATTTTCTAGATGGCTAAGCAAAGATGACTTGCAGAGAAGCATCAACCAAAGATGATTTGTCGGGAAAGTGTTCCTACTATTTATCATTTAGACACACAAGGAACACCTTTGTTGCACGGACACTTCAACTAGAGTAATGTGTCCATATTCGACATGTGTCGGACTCATATCAAATATTTACACTTCTCAAACACTCTAAAATGATCATTCTTCTAATTAGAAATATTATATGTTTTTAACTCAAAGTTATTAATAAATAATAAATATGTACTCATATAAAAAGATTTCAACAAAAAAGTTAATAACAAGTATAAAACTAAATTTATATTATATAAATGAAGAAATTTTAAAGAAATTAATCAACATGTTGACTACATGTTGCGTCAGTACTTTTTTCAAAAATCAATCGTCGATGTATCCGACACGAGTTGTGTTAGACACACATATCCGTGTCGATGCATCATAGAGGAACACTTTCTCAACACATCTTGGACATGTGTCCAACGCATCAAGTTGTGTCCTATATATATACACAAACACACACACAAGCCCCATTTTTAAATCAATTCTGGAATAGATGAATTTCTAATGGGAAGTTTAAATTATTAAAGCATTTGCATAAAATTGTTTGTAATCTAATGTGAGAAAATTATAGGAATTCAATTTGTTTTACATCTATTATACGCAGTTTTAGGTGCACTTTAATTTTATTTGCAATACTGATACAAGTACAAAGTACAACAAAGAGCTGCCACTCTTACGAGGTTAAAATATTTCACCTACATAATTTGACATAAAATCTAAAGCTAAAGAGATACTAATTATATTTTAAAATTTCAAAAAATGTTAGATATAAATGCGAAATTCTAATAGATGTGTCCTGATCTGTCAGTGTGCTATACCTGGCTCTTTTTTACAAGTGTTCCTCTTCTGCTACAATGAAATCCTTTGGTTCTTTAGCTTTATCTATGCATACGTTTGAATGCAATATGCTGAGTGATATTTATGCCGTTCTCATGATCTTGTTTTGTTCTCGACCAGTTTATGCAGATGGAAGTATTTGCTTGGATATCCTGCAAAATCAGTGGAGTCCAATATATGACGTGGCAGCTATTCTTACATCTATCCAGGTGCCATGGGCGATAAACATTGATTCTCTCTATCCTCACTCACTTATACTACTATATTAAGAAAACATTTATTGATGAGATCATAAGTAGAATAAATTTATCAAACACTGCTAAGCTAAAATTAAAAATATTTCTTCATTCAGTATGTAATTGTAAAAAAATGGGTAGATCTTAGGAAATTCCCAGAGAAGACAGACGCTGTTGAGTATTCTTCTGTTTTTACTATAATGGCAGTAAAGAGGCAGTATGTTTTCCATGCTTATTTCTCCCACCTTTAGTTGTTTTATTTGGTACGAATGCATGCAGTCCAGTTCCCTAGGAAGATGCTCTATATTCTATCACACGTGTTCCCAGCAACAAAAGCCAGGTTTCAATCTTAGTTGCATATGAACTATGTTCCTTTGGAAGCTTCTTCCCTTTGCCACAAGGTAATTAATAGCAAAAATGGTTCAGCAGGGTGGTGGTGATGCTGCTTTTGATTCTGTTGTGTCTCACTCGAGTCCTCGGAAATTTATGTTTTAGTTGTATCCCATGGATCTCTATTGTTACACCACCTTGAGATAGGTATTTTCCAGTTGTTCTTTGGAGGATTCCTTGAGGGGTGGATCTCCATTTTCTGTCACCTATTAACAATTGTTTCATCTCTCCGTCTTCAGAATTCCTGTCTTTAGATATTTTGTTCGAGATATAGCTTTTGTTTTCATGGTTATTTATATTTCCATGTAATCTCAAAGATAGGGAGGTCGAGGATCTGATTGTTTCAATAAATTTTCTGGATCCTTTCCATCCCTCTGCATTATGGTTAACTGGATTTGGGCTTCTAATAATTCTGGTATCTACCCGTTCAAATCTTTTATTGTTAGTCTTCCCGATCACAAGGCAGCTCCTTTTTTTGTTGGATTCTTTCATTTGGAAATACAAGGTTCTTCAAGGTAAATGTTTACGTTATCTTCGGTCCTTCATGGCCTCATAACACTAATGATTACTAGTGCATTGCCCTCGAGGGCTTTCGCCCCTGTTGTTCGTGTCGTGTCAGTGGAGTAATGAGGCACGCTTATATTTGTTCTTGTTCTGTCCTATTGCTAGTGTTATCGGGAAAACTAGTTTCTCTTTCGGGAACCTCTCATCATCCCTGCATCTTAGATGAAGTTTCTTATCAAATTTTGGGCTTGGATTAGAATGCCAGGGTTTTTAAAGAGATACTATGATGGCCATTATTCGATCTATTTGGAGTGGAAGAAGAATGCAAGAATTTCGAGAATCATATTAGGACTTTCTCATGGTTTGTAGGATGGTGTTTCCTTTACTGGTGAAACTTCGGTGTGTGTAAGAGTCCTTTTAGCATGGCTTTTGAAAAGCCAAAAGGAGCTTTTCGACCCGTTTGGCTAATTTTGTTAAAGTGTTTTTGGTGGTTAGAAGAGCTTTTAGAGGAATATGGTTTAATGTGGCTTCCTCTAAAAGCACTTCCGGAATAGAAAATGTTTTTAAATATTAGTTTTCAAACAAAAATTAAAATAACTTCCTCCAAAAGCTCTTCTACAAGAAGCAAAAGTCATGTCAAACGGGCCCTAAGTAGTTCTTGATTCTTTCCTCTGTGTTAATAAATCTGTTCTCTCTTCCATCCGAAAAATATATAAATAGTCTTCTCATTGAGTACTCTCCCTTTTGCCATTCAGGCTTCTGTTTGTTGGATCTTTTTTAACTGGTTTTTGAACACGTGATAGAGATAGTTATAACTAGCTGGATTAGTTTTTTACAACTTACTGAAGTATTTGTCATTTTTCTTTCATTCCCTCCTAATTTAGCTACACCAATTGATTGGAAGTTATGACATACATTCACCATTCAAATTATTAAAACGTGTTCATAAAATGATGGATGAAATAAAGTTACATAACATATTAATGCCAAGGAGGGTACGTTTTCATTCTTTGAATTCCTAATTCATCCCTTTTTACTATTGCAGTCGCTGCTTTGTGATCCAAATCCGAACTCACCGGCAAATTCTGAAGCAGCTCGGATGTTTAGTGAAAACAAGCGTGAATATAACAGGAAGGTGCGTGAGATCGTTGAGCAGAGCTGGACAGCAGACTAAATAATCCCTGAGGATATGCGAAAGAAGATTGTCAGTTACTTGGGTAAGATTAATATTACATGTTTTTTCTCCGACTGTGTCTCTGAAATGGGATCGACTGGTGCAGGAAAAACGTTGTCAAGATCATATATCTTGTGTTTGGCTTAGGGATTGCAAGTTTTTATTATTTGATGTGCAACGTTACCTTCTTGTGGCTGTGAATGTGCATAATGATTTCATCTTGTATTTGATTGTTGAAAATTGAATGGAACTCCATTTTCATTAACCTTATTTAGAGTTGTGGGATATTTTTAATTTTCACAAATTCTTGTGTTTATTGTTCAACTACCTTCGTATGTTAACTGAAGCATGTTTATTGGGTTCATGGACGAATGTTGGTGGAATAATACTAACTGTACAAAAAGAGTTACATAATGGTTACGTACAGACAAGGTCTCAAAAAGAGAGTGGAGAAGTGTTTTTCTTTCTTTTCTTTTCTTTTTTCTTTTTTAAAAAAAAAAACACAATTATATTTCATCATATCATGTGTATGTAGACGATTACGTAAACTAATTTTGTACATGTAGTATAATCGAAGACCAAAAAAAAAGGGCTATGTGCTTTTTGCTCTAGTTTGCATTTTTTCCCCCTCTTTTAAAATTTTGACTTGTGTTGACACAGAGAATAGATTTGCCTGCGTTTGCTCCCTAGTAATTTGAATTATAATGGGAGGAATAGTATTTTTTAAAAAAATAAGTGGTGGTAAAAAAATGAAAAATTTTCGATTTACGTGTAATATTATTTTATTAAAGATTGTATGGTTGAAAATAAGAGAGAAATTTAATTTAAATTGATGAAATTTAAAGGGAGCCAAACGGGGCAGAATTTCATTCTGAAAAGTGAGATGGGGGATGAAAGAAGTATTGTTCAGTGTTTGTTTTCGGAGAATTTTTGTCTATTTTGAGAACCAACAACATTAGCTTCGCCCTTGAAATATGGTCCGTCTCGGTCTAAGTTGAGTGGAGTCGTGCCAAGACCCAGGTTAAGCGAGACTAATGTGCTTTGCTTTACTCGTCATACCTACGTGTAAGTAACTTATATAGCTTATATTTCATTTAGCAAAATTTAAAAAGTATTTACGGTCAGATATCATTTTTAACCATAAATTTTAATCTACTTACAAGTTCTTTGAAGTGGAGTCTTCTTATATTTTAATATTTAAATATGGTTTATGAAAGAAAATATTGCTTTAAATATAGTGCTATTAAAGCTTTTAAAATTTAATGCACATAACAATGGGTAGGATTATTTTTGAATGAAGTATTAGCCTTTGTTTAGTGGGTATTAAATTATTAGATTTTTAGAAATTTTAACAAGAGTTGATGAATTGTAAAGTTGAAAAGTAGTTGATTCCGTGAAATATGTAATTAAAAACAATTGTTAACTTCGACTTTGATTTTAATAAAAATCTAGATTTTAATCTGTATCAAATTTGGGTTCTCTTTATGCTACTTTTCTTAGCTTATGTTCTAAAACAGAAATCCACTGCTTTGTTTACAATTTCACAAGCACAATTCTAATAAGTTGTGCTATGATACCCGGGTTTCACTTCTCACTTTAGATTGCCCAAAAAAAAAAAAAAAAACTTCCATAGTAATCAAACAGTGCAAACAAGATTCATTTACCAACAAGAAACATGAAAATCAATCTAAGCAATCATCTTCAATTCTTCATGTGATGGATGAAAGTTTCGAAATTCTGAGAAGAAGATCCGGATCCACTTACACTCTCGAGAGCCATTTCCTTCAGTTTTACAGCATTCGTTTTAATACTATGGTCTGAAAGAAGCATTTCTATTTTAGTCGAAATTTCAAGCCTTGATCTGAGTCCATTCTCGTCTGGGTTGAGTCTCAAACCAATCTTCCACATGTCACAAATGTAATTCTGGTTGTAGAATTGATCCGAAAAATAAGGCCAACATAGGAAAGGAACTCCCATGGTTAGACCCTCCACGGTCGAGTTCCATCCACAATGGCTTATAAAACAAGCGACCGAAGAATGAGCTAATACTTCTTCCTGAGGTGCCCATTCGACAATTTTTCCACGTTTCGCCACTCTTTCGAGGAAACCATTTGGGAACTTGACTTTCGATCCATTGGCAAGATTTGACCTAACGACCCATAGAAATGGCCTGCCTGAAAGTTCAAGAGCCAGTGCTAGTTCATTTAACTGGTCCTGAGAGAAAACAGCTATGCTGCCGAAAGAAACATAGATCACCGAGCCAATTTGTTGTTTATCTAGCCAGCTAAAACAAGTTGTTTCCTCAATCCAAAGGCTCCCTCCAATGGCGGATGATTTCGAGTTATTAGTACTAAGCAATGGTCCAACAGGCAGAAAGTTGGGAATCAAATTACAAGCTGATGGTTCGAGTTCATAAAATGTATTGCAGAGCAGCCACTTTGCACGATGCGCTGTTTTTCCGCCGGCCATGAAAGTTTCGAACACTATCGATTGAGTCTTTAGGTCACCGGGGAAGCTCCATGGAAGTTCATTTTTTCTCCAGGAAGGTATATTATCTGGCAGGTTGATCAATTCATTTTTCTTAACAGATCCTGCAAGGAGAACAAGTTGGACATTTATTGAATTCTTATAATTTTAACATGTCAGATTCATTTTCATTAAAGACGTTGTATGTGCACAATTTTCATAAATGTGTGACAGTGATACTTAAATCCATGAGCATAAACCGTTGGAGAAGAACAAGTCGAGAAATCAGGAACAAACGATAAACAGAGAAGAATGATAAAAAAGAGCAAAGATAAAACTTTACCATTCATATCAAGATTTCCTGCTTGAATAAGCTTTGGAATTTGAAGTACCATGGCCATGCCTGCTGCTGCAGCTGATTGGAAGACTACTGATTCAGCTCCCAGTTTTTGGGTAACATCAAGTATCCATCCAATTGTGATATCAGCTATTACACAAGTAATCTTTTCATCACTGCTTCGACCGTTAATTTTCTCGATCAAATTCGTCAAATTTCCGGGCATCGTTCTTATGACACTTTCCATTAGCTCGAATCCAGGACTTCTGTCATCATCAGGTGGCAACCCATCTGGAATCGAGATTAGTTGTATTGGGTTTTGGCTCTTATCCTCCTCAGACATTGCAGCAACAACTTTCGCATGTATATGTTCCGTGTTAACGAATGTAACCTTAATCCCTCGACTGGCAATTCGTCGACACAATTTCATGAGCGGCCGTACATGTCCTTGAGCTGGAAACGGAACGGCCAATACGTGTGGTTGTCTCTTGCCCTTAACTGCCATTGCTTCTTGTTGTGCTGAAATTGATGAAGAACAAGAAAAATCAGCGACAAGAATCCACCAAATGGAAGATTTGAACACGATGATGATTCACTATCTTCAAACGATATTTGCTGGCGTATCTGTTTCTATTTCCTTCTAGCTTATTAATATACGAGTTTTGAAAATAACAGGACTCAATTATATAGGCAATAATTCCCCATTTGTTGTCCTCTGATCATTGCAAATTAGTTTTTTAACAGTTCAAGACAAAATCCGCACGTCATTATATCAATAAAACTAGCACACATGAATAAAATGTATAATGAGTTTAAGAAAAATATTCACACGTGATTAGATCCTTAAACATTGGAACATATGAATAACATGTATAGTTTAATGTGCTCGAGCAAATAATTGTCCAAGTAGAACAGCTTCATTTCTTTGTTAAAATAGAGTAATGGAACACATGAAAAAAAAAAAACGTGTATAGTTTTAAGATGCCGGTGCAGTTTAAGTCCAACTTTACGTGCTGACAGCTTCAATTTTTTTAAACGCATGAATAAGATTCTTACAATGAAAGATGTCATTCCGTCGGGCTTGGGCTATCATTACGTTGCACGTAGATTTATTTAATTTTGTACGTTTACTTGTATACATTTGATTGATATTTTAGGGCTTGTTCATTATTTTCAAAAAATACATTTTTCAACAGTGATTTGACATCATTTCAATCATACATTATTTAATAAAATAATATACACGCAAATCTAATTTTTTTTTAAATTTTTTAACCACACATTTTCTATTGATTTGACATGAATAATGTATTTTTTTTTAAATGTGGCTCAAACAAGGGCTAAAATGAATTATTCTACTTTAACCACCCTGCTGGACACTTTGGCACCAATTAAATGGTGCGTCATGTCACCGATGCTTAAGAGATCATTCATATATATATGCTCTTCCTTGATCGATATAAAAACAATCTTTGATCGTCTTAATGGTTCAAACTAGTCGAGTTGGAAAAATATTTGGGTTGACAGAGAATTGTAGAATATAGTTGATGTAACAATAAAAGCATACTTGCCAAACTTCACAAAAAATGGACTACGTCTAAGGTCCAACTTAAGGTTAGGTACACATTATTTTGCAAAATAAATCTCTAGGTTTAAAAGAGAAAATGAAAGAAAAGATGAATATTGATGACGAAACCCATTGCTTTTATTGGACTATGAAGCCATGGTATTCAATCCAATAAGGAAAAAATTCATATGTCAGGTGTATAGTTAACGCCAATTCACAATTGAGGTATGAAAAGTAAACATTCAGATCTCAAGTGTATGTGTGTGTGTGTGTGTGTATTCTGTTACGTAACTTTCCTATAATCCCGCGTAGTTTCCATCAATAACAAGGCTCTACCACTACAAAATCTTCATAAAAAATAAAACATCCAGAGTAATTTCAAGCCAGTCACTGGAGAACCCTAATTCAGCCGTCGAAGGAGAAAAAATTAGGTAATTGTGCATTCGCCATTCATATATGAAGTGATTGATGTCATCGACATTGATGGTTTCGTGTCACAGATTTGGAATTAGTTTAGAGAAATTGACATTTTCGCATAACAGAAATCAATCCAAGTATTGGTCTGATTATTTTGTTCACTACTAGTTTTTTGCATTTAGCATCATCAGATAAGATCTGAAATTTTTCTGTAGTCAAATTTTCACGGACCGAATCTATTGTGGTCACATGTGTCAAATTCAATAACATTGTGCAGAAGAATGTTAACGACATGTATGATATGTGACTTAATTGAGTGTAATCAGTCTTAGACAAGCGTAACATCGATTGTGGATGTCTATGACCACTACAAAAATGTGGCAGATTGTAATGACATCAAACATAAGGGGTGAACAGCATATGTGACCTTTGTGATTTATGCTGGAAGACGAAGAAACAGAGGATTCATTGTGGATGATTAAATGTGACCTATGTGCTAAAAATGTGACCTCCATTTGTTTTCGATTATCTGTAAGATATGTTATATTGGCATTGATCGTACTCGTGTGTGACCTATTCCGATATTTGACCTGAATGTGACCACACGACACAACAGTATCCATACACATATGTGACATGTGTAATTAAATTAACAATTGAGAATGTGAGGATTTGAAATTCAATTTTGCAGAAATGGTGTACTTGCACGTATGTTTGTTGCATGGATCTTAGTCAGCATTGGCGTTGGTAGACCGTGGATGCAGTTATGTAAACCTTGTAAACACGATTATGTTAGAGTTTAGCTTGGATCCGACTAAGGTAGCAGTATCATTGAAGTATGTACTGAACGACGATTTGCTGCAATTAGGATAAAAAAATGACAGCAACGTGCTTGCATACATTCTGCTGAAGAAGTCGATCGTGATCCTGCTAAATACCCATTACTCATTGACATAACCAATACAGCAATAGATTACCCATCTGACATGGTCACAGATAATGCTTGTCGTAACAGAGAGCTTTATACATTGCAGAATGTGGCCACAGAAATCCGCAAAGCATCAAGTGAACGTCTAGGTCACATTTGTGACAATGAAGTTACAATTGTTTCTATAGCAGATGCTAGTGAGGTCGAAGAAGGAAGGATTTTCCGTGATAAGGATATTTTAAAATTGAACCTATTCTTTTTTTCCATAAGAAACATGTTTGAGTTTATGGTTGAACAATCCGACAAGAAATAGTATGTGGTGAGGTGTTCTCAGGAAGGATGTACTTGGATATACCGATCGTTGAAATGGGGTAAAACTAATCTATTTAAGATTCGAAAGATTGGTAGTCACACATGTACATCAAATGTTGTCTTGGGGTCACACAGACAAGTATCAGCTGCAATTGTTTCATCTAGCATCAAGTACAAGTACACATTGATTGGCACCATATACACACCAAAGGACATATGAAGTGATATGTTACATACTTTTAGAGTATATTTGAATTACTCAAAAGTTTGGAGATCCCGTGAACAAACATTGAAGATGATTAGGGGTGATCTGACGGAATCATTCGGTAGGATACCAAGTTTCTTCTACATGCTCTGACAAAGAAATCTTGGTATGGTCACAGAGTTGGAGGTTGATAGTCACAATAGGTTCAAGTATTATTTTATGGCACTCGGTGCATCAATACAGGGACGGTAACATTGTAGGCTCGTAATTGTCGTCAATAATACTTATTTGAATGGTTATTATGGAGATACCCTATTCATAGCATGTATACAAAATGCAAATAATGGCATATTTGTTCTTGCTTTTAGAGTAGGGGATAATGAGAACGACAAATCTTGGATATGATTTTTGGAGAAACTGAAAATGCATATGGATACAGAGAAGGATTGTGTTTTGTATCAGACCGTCATGACAGTATAAAAAAAGAAATAGAACAGTTGTATCCGAGAAGTTGCCACGATATCTACTCGTTCCATTTGCTGCAGAATCTAAAGTCATATTATGGAAAATCAGGGCAAAATATTACGCAAGCGTTCAATTCGGCTGTCCGCGCTTACACATTAGAAGAATTTAAATACAACATGCAACAACTGGACGGGATGAATGGGAAGATTCGTGATTACCTAGTACTGTACTGACTACAGCACTCCATTATCACATGCAGTGAAGTGGTCACATATATCCTTTTATACTATACTTATAGTATGATATCTTTTGGCAGGATGAAGTAGGCCCTGAAAAGTGGTCACGAATACATATACCGATAAACAGATACTCTACAATAACATCAAACATTGTAGAATCAGTAAAAGTGGTCACACAGGCAGCTAAGAATTATCCTATTGTATTTCTGCTGGAGTCATTGCGACAACCAGTACAAAATTGGTTCTGTAAACATAGAGATGAAGCGCATGGAACTTTTACGATGTTGACAAGCAAGTTCGAGAACGTCATGAGGAGAATGAGTTCAGAACTAAGGAACTTGAGGGCAACTTTCTTATGTATCCTGAAGTTTGTGTATGTGACCTAAATTGAAGTATGTATGTGATTATATCATAGGTATCTGAGATATGGAATGCACATCTTTGATTATATGTCCAAATTATAGTTGCATGTGAGCAGCAATTAATGTTTGTGATGCTATATACTTTGTTTATGGTGCTATATACTTTGTCTGCTAATGTTAAACCTCTGACCTAAATGGATTGTATGTGACAACCAAGTATGAAGTCCTGTGACCTGAACATGTAATTGTGCACTGAAATATGAATGTCTGTGACCTATTCTTTTTTACTTTAAATTGACACATACCATTGGTGCTACTACACTCTCACATGTATCTCCTTCCAACCAAATAGTGTTTTCCGTGAGTGATGAAAGGTCCACCTTTGTTGTTGACATTGAGCAATGTATATGCACTTGCAGGATGTTACAGGTCGATCTGATGCCATGTCTACATGCATTGGCTGTAATTTCACATACGAAAAGGGATCCATATGCTTACCGTTCTTATTATTACACAAGGGATGCATATGTAAATGCTTACGAAAGTTCGGCATATCCTATTGGAAATCTAGGCGAATGGAGAGTGCCCAATGAAGTAGAATTTCAAATTGTTTTAGTTCCTAACCAGAAACGGAGTTCTGGAAGACCTACTGAGAAGAGGAAGAGATCATCTAGGGAAGGGAAACCAAAAGTAAGATGTGAACATTGTGGTGCACATGGTCACAACCGCAGGAGATGCTCAAGTTTGGTCCCATTAAGTAAGAACGATTGATGGAGTACCAACCTGTAATAAGAATTCAATACGTGATGAAAACTTATCAAAGTTAGATCGCATTCTTGAATTTAAACTGTTATTAGCATACCGACATTGAGATCATTTGTAACTAAATGTGTTTCAATTGATCAATTGACAAATGATGTTGAAAAAGTAAAGTAGTAAATGCTCACTGAAATATACCCGCACTTTTTATTCAATTTAGCAGAGAATTGTGTAATTGATGATTATGGATTCCATACACCGTAATATATTTGAATTGATACCATTAATTCAATTAAAGACATGAACTGTGACCTAAACGTGGTGTAGAAGCTTGGATAAATTAATTGTGACCTGAACATGGTGGAGAATAAATATCTGTCCATTAACAGATTCAATAAATAAGATGAACTGTGACCAGCTCTTGGCATGATATGTTATGAGAGCTAAATCC